ATAAGATAAACAAATTAACATTTAATTATCAAGATGTACAAGTTATTCTTAAACAATTAATTAGTATGGGCCATAGAGTTAGAGTGCATGATTTTGGTGATTGAAGGGTCATGTCCATTCCCGGACAATGTCAGATATTGTACAACAATAATGTAATGCAGCAAAAAAAGGTTTTCCAACCCAGCAATTCATTAATTTTTTTAAAAGCTAAAGCATCAGAACACAAGTAAAATCAAAACAGAGACAACCAATGTGGTTGGAGTTCGATAAAGAAAAAAAATCCTTGGAATCATTATTACGGATTTTTTATTACATACTATCATAGATGGATATGTCATACTTTAATTATTTACATATATATGATCTGATAAATTGGCCGTTGATTTATATGCATTAGATTGTGTCTGAAATTAAATTGACTTTGACATAAATAAATTTATCCTATAAAATCTTGTACTGTACTTAATATAGGGATCGTATTAAGCATCAACGAAGCTTTTAAGTTGATACTGGCGATCAGAAGATCTTAAAAAAGGTAAATCTAGCAACAAATGACTGAAGAAGAAAGCATGATGTAGATAAAGCCAATTTTGGTAAACAATCCAATAGTGTAGTGCGCTAGTTAAGGCCTAACCCACTTGGCTCAAATAACTCGAACGATGATTGTATTCGATGCCATAATCTAAGTCAGGATTTTCCTTTCTCACTGGCTTCGGTGGGGTGGGGAAGGTCTAAAAGATGACTTTTTATATATATATATATATTTTTTTTCAAATTTTGAATCTTTGAATGATATATAAAAGAATATGTGCAGCTTTGAATCCGTGGTCCTGTATCAATGCCCATTTTCTGGGTTCTCTGATCATCCACGACTTGGTGCTAGATTAGATGCAACCATTTCCACTTCTGCTTTTGACTAAACTTAAAAAGAAAAGTTGAATACCAAGCTAGCATTCACATGTTTGGGGTCCTACATTTATATTTGCTGGTACTGAAATATCCCATTAAAATACTCCACCATTTCTCAAACTTGTTAAATTCTTAATCCATGCAATTTTAATTTGAAAACCCTTTTACATAAATATGAAGTTGGTATAAACAAACATATTATATATACCAGCATTGAGACGAAAGGGACTAGAAAGTGAAGCTATAGAGACCGCAGTAGATGCTTTACCATTATATTAAGGAAGCGCCAATCTTTTAGTCTTGTANATTATCACTTATATAACCACCAATAATTGCTATTGGTTTCTAAATGATAATGTAGATGATGTTAAAAGGAAGGTGGGAAGTTATATCAAACACCAACATCTTGGAGACACCATTTGTAGATTTGGGTGCGACGTTATTTTCTCTATTAATGAAACTCTTACATCACACTAGAACAACCTAAGTATCCTCTGCCTCCATGTTAAAGATGACGAAGGTCTCATATAATGATTCAATTATTTGATACAGACGGAATCCAATTAATCTTTTTTTCTATGAATTATAAGATAAACAAATTAACATTTAATTATCAAGCTGTACAAGTTAATTCTTAAACAATTAATTAGTATGGGCCACAGAGTTAGAGTGCATGATTTTGGTGATTGAAGGATCATGTGCATTCCCTGGACAATATCAGATATTGTACAACAAATAATGTAATGGACAGCAAAATAAAGGTTTTCCAACCAGCAATTCATTAATTTTTTTAAAAGCTAAAGCATCAGAACGCAAGTAAAATCAAAACAGAGACAACCAATGTGGATTGGAGTTCGATAAAGAAAAAAAATCCTTGGAATCATTATTACGGATTTTTATACTATCACTATCATAAGATGGATATGTCATACTTTAATTATTTACATATATATGATCTGATAAATTGGCCGTTGATTTATATGTTATACAAGTAAGTACTTTAAGCTGATCAATCACCATTTACATTCAAGTTTATTGGTACCTCAAAGTTTGATTAATTAGATTGAGACTCCAAAGTTTTAACATGTCAAATAAAACTTTTGGTTTTGGGCGTGTAGGTTAAGGTATTAAAAGGAAAGTAAATGTATAAAAGTATCCCGATTATTTTGTCTTACATTGGTAAGTTGGCAGTGGTACTGGGTGCGAGACTCGGAATGGGAGTGGAAGTGGGACGTGGGACGTGGCGGAATCGTCTTCTGCGCAAAGCTGCCTACATTCTGGACGCATCCCCTTTCTTGTCTTTGTGCTCCGTAAAAGTCAAATGTATCTCCGTTCTACAATATCTTTTATTTTATTCATATCCTAATTTTTATTTGAAAAATATTAAAATGATTAGCACGTGTTTAACTGTGAGTTTGTGATCCAATACTCTGTGGTCCAATACTCATTGTTGATACAGAAATCTATATTAATTAGAGAATTTCGATTGACCTTATCGAAACCGAAATAGATGTGTACGTGATTTAATGAAAATCAGCAATGAATAACAAAGAAAAAATCATAAATAAAAACACAAGACAATTTTTAAAGTGGTTCGGTAAGTTAGAACTTGAGCCTACGTCCATTGTTATTTTATTGCTTTTGAGTGCTTACAAAAAAAAAGTTTAATTCCTAGGAAAATTTGCTTAGAACAATTGTCCAGCCCCCCTAAAAACAAGTTATGATGGATTTATATAACACTCATTTACATGATTGAGTTGAGATAAAATTCAAATACGTAGAATTAGGAAGTTGCATAATCTTCAGCTACCTTAGTTGGAGTTTAAGTCAATCTTGAGCAAATCTAAATATCTTCTCTCCTAATAATGAATTATCCTCTCCGGATTGACAGCACAACAATAACCCCCTAATTTTTAGAGTGCATAATCGCGCTTCAAAAACTCATGTCTTTGATCTGGATGGTTGTTGCACTATAGGTTGTAGTCTCTAACTGAAGACTTGAGTTATGTCTGGCGCGATCTAAGAGATCTGAGAGATCTTGAACATGTGATCTCAAGCGAATGATCGAGCTTAGGAGCTTAATCAGATAGCATAAAGAGCTCGATCTGAGAACATAAAGAGCTCGATCTGAAAGCATAAATAGCTCGATCTGAAGATGCGAGGAGTTTGATTAGAAAGCGCGGAGAGCTTGATCAGAGAGCATAGCTCGATCAGAAAGCATGGAAAGCTTGATCTGAGAGCATAACTCGATCAGAAAGCATGGAGAGCTTGATTTGAGAGCATAGTTCATCGGAAAGCATGAAGAGCTTGATCTGAGAGCATAGTTCATCATAAAGCATGAAGAGCTTGATCTGAGAGCATTGCTCGATCAGAAAGCATGAAGAGCTTGATTTGAGAGCATAGCTCCTTTAGAAAGCATGGTGAGCTTGATTTGAGAGCATATCTCGATCAGAAAGCATGGAGAGCTTGATCTGAGAGCATAGCTTGATCAGAAAATATGGAGAACTTGATCTGAGAGCGTTGCTCGATCAGAAAACATGGAGAACTTGATCTGAGAGCATAGCTTTATCAGAGAGCATGGAGAGTTTGATCTGAGAGCATAGCTTGATTAGAAAGCATGGAAAGCTTGAGAGTTAGAGAGCTAGCTTGAGAGCTCGATAGCTTGGGAGCTTGAGAGCTAGCGAGCTCTTTCTAATATGAGCGATTTGGCCACGGGATCTGAGAGCTTTGATTTGGAACAGACTTTAGTATTTTGATGATAACTTGAGCTACAAACCTCGGATTTGGATAATTCTTGGATTGTCAAAAAGCTAACTTGAAGGGCTACAATTCTTGTGTTTACTGCTTAGCCAAATTCAAACTTTATCCTACTCATATTTTCACATTTGATAACGTGATTCTAGAAAAAAAAGCTGGAATTTGCTGAAGAAGTTGAGACTTGCTGGAAAAACATGGAGAGCTGATGTGAATCAAACCCTCCTTCTAGCGCCAAAATGTTGATACAGAAAGCTGCACTAGCCAGAGAATTCCGATTGACCCTGTCGGAATCAAAAGGATGTGCGCGTGATTTAATGAAAATCAGCAATTAATAAAAAAAAAAAAGTCATAAATAAGAACACAAGACAATTTTTAAAGTGGTTCGGCAAGTTAAAACTTGAGCCTACATCCACTGTTATCTTATTGTTTTTTAGAGCGTACAAAGAACAGTATAATTCATAGGAAAATTTGCTTAGAACAATTGTCCAACCCCCTTAAAAACAAGTTATGATAGGTTTATATAGTGCTCATTTACATGATTGAGTTGAGATAAAATTCAAATACGTAGAATTAGGAAGTTGCATGATCTTCGGTTATCTTAGTTGGAGTCTAAGTCAATCTAAATATCTTCCTTCCAAATTAAGCAAATCTAAATATCTTCTCTCTTAATAAGAAATTATCCTCTCTGAATTGACCGCACAACACGCATAAAAAAATGTTTTGTCATCTTTGTTTCTTGAGCTGAAGCAGTAGCCAAAATGCAGAGGATATAATTAAATGCAAGTGAAACAAATTAATGTGTTGAAAGGCTGTTAATTTCACATGTGAAGAACCAATTTGTAACTGTTTAGCAGTCTGTTGCTTAATTTTCAAGAATCTATGGGTTACTTTTCGGTCTCAAATCAACTTCAAAATACTAGGCCTGAATCTGTCAATGGGATAATGGACATGGTGATACGTAGACGAAGGATATTCTTTCTGTTGTGTTTGCTAAGAGGTAATGAATTGATGGTGGGTTCTCCACATCATTTAGAATCCAATTTATGACCGTTAGAGAAAAGATTATTAATTTTTTGATTCCCTCCGATTTCTTAAAGGATTAAAGAAAATGAGAACTTGGAATATTTGTATAGCTGGGTGCTTATCATTTAAGATCTTGGGCTCTGGTTATTCATTAATGTTCCAAAATTTCTGCATTTTCTTGGATGTATTTAATTTTCCTTCCTGATTTTCTTATCGCATTCCCTACAACACTCGTTCAATTTTATTATTGATTAATATGTGTTCATATGCAGCTCAGTTGTTTAAATTATGTATCTGTAGAATCATATATATGCAGTATGGATATGGAAACTTCTGCGTAAAAATATTTCTAACATAAAAAATAAAAAAGGAGAACTAAAATTTAAGTTCAGGCACTAGCTAAAACAGGATCTGGCTTTATTGCTGGACACCTTTCCACTTTCTTTCAGAGTTCTGGATGAACGAGTACATCTCTTGGAGTGTAAAATAGCTGCGCAGAATCAAACTCTCCCTCTCTGTGTCTTTCCGCCTCACTTGTTGCTCATTCATCTCCATCTTCCAGCATATTACAAGACTTTCTACTTCCATGAAAACTAATTTCTCTTTATATTCGGATCTCTTCAATACAGTGGATCGTGGAAATTCACAGCTTTTAAGGAGTGGCATTAAGAGGACAGATGGAAAATCTCTTTGTAATCCGAAAATTCTCTGAAATGTTCCTCTACCCAGTCGTCTCCTCTAATTTTGTCACATCAACACAAGGAAGATTATTTGCATACAATTCCTTTATATGCTTTTTTGAGTCTTAATTATTCAAGACCAGAAATCCCACCACTGATATCCAGTACTAGACTGATCGAAGAGATCATCCGACTCGAATTTCCCCCAATCTTCTGGTGATGTTAATGAACTCTCGGCAGGTTCCACCATGGCCATAAGATTGGGCTCTTCTTCAAGTCCAAAGTACTCAGCCTTTATACTGCTATCATCATCAGACAAGACACCTAGTCTTTGTTCTGATATCTCAAGGGACAAGCTCGGCTTCACTTCTGATTCACACTTTGTGTTTGTGGCCTCTCCATTATCTAATTCGCTGTCCATGCTGTTTACAGCTTCAAATTGCCCACAACACTGCCTTTCTTCTCGTGGTTTTTGCAATAAATCATTCATTCTTTGCAACTGTCAAAAATCAAATTAATTAATACCTTTATATATATACATCATGCTTAAACCTTCATCAAACAATTAAGGGTTATTGAAATTAAATAATGACATATAAGTACCTGAATCACCAAGGCCTGCTTTTCTTTCTTCAGAGATTCGAAACGGGAAGCCAAATTATCGTAATTGGCTTGCAGTATGTTGTAGTCTCGTTCGAGCTGCTTCGACTTCCATCTAGCTCTCTTGTTTTGAAACCATATAGCTACCTGACGTGGCTGCAACCCAAGTTCTCTAGCCAACTGTAGTTTCTTTCGTGGCTCAAGTCTAGTTTCATTTTCAAACATCAGTTCCAATGATCTGATCTGTTCATCACTGAACCTTCTCTTATTATTCTTGTTCCTCTTTTTTTTCGAAGTTGCAAGCTCGTTTAAGCAGGAAAAAGGCTCAGACGCCTGAGAATATTCGTCTGCATCAAACATCTTTTTTGAAATATGTGCGGACAAATAATTAATATTCTCGTTTTTGGAAAAAAAAATGGCTTCAAATTTCACTGGTGAATGTTGAAGGGAGATGATGATTATGATGTGTTGAAGGTTTGTGAAGTGAATGAATTTCTTAGCTAATTGTGATATGCAAATTATATGCATATCATGGTTTTCTAAAGTCTGACTGGGGAGTTTCTCACTTCTGCTTTATATCCTCTCCGATAGCGTATACTGTTTCTCCTCTTGTGCCTTGTAAACATTGTCAATTTTTTTTTTCTTGATAAATTCTATGATTAAAAGCTCTAGCTATAACAAAACAATCTTAAGGCGTCTGTGACTGCACATGCGGTCCAAGCCGTTTCTTTGGTAGCTTGCGTGGCTTGCTTTTATTTTCATATGCACATAATAATATGATAACATTTTTAATTTTATTATAAAATAATAAAATCTCCATTGTCATCATCGTCATTGTCATAATTTTCAGCCTAGTCTTGTCGTAAACCATATAGGGTCGGCCGCGTGAATCACGTTCTGCCTTTACAATTATTTCATAATATACTATTTTAGTTTCTATGTATTTAAATGTAGCGTTTGCTTTGTTACCACAGCATTGTTAAAAGATTAATTCATTTTCCCAGGTTCATTGGAGAGCCACGTATGCTGTAAGTTTCGATCAATATACTATATACAAATTTATTAGAATTAATCAGTTGGCCCTCCCTCGACTAGACTAGTCCTTATCCTCCCAATTAATTCATATGTTTTTTTTCTTTCTAAATGAAACCCTGGATTACGCAAAAGTTATTTGGATCCATGCACCCTTGAGCAATGAGCATCAGCTAAAATGTAAAAGTTGGATCAATCAATAATCCATGCCACAAATGCGTAATTATTTTAATATGATAATTTTTGTATAAAGGTATACGTACTTCCGGTTCTGGCAGAAGAGGAATTTAGGTGCACTATATCCAATAATTAGGAGCGGAGGATGGTTAATCACAGTCATTATTGACAAGCCTAACAAAATGTTTAACGCTGAATTCTATGCTAGGCCTTCTTGGCTAAGCCTCTGACTAAACAAAATAGGCTTGAGCCAATGAGCCATCGAGTCACTTTCACACCACACACTCGACGTACCCAACTTTGTTTCTCTGTGAAAAACTCCATTAAATATTCATTTAATCTAATAATTTTATTATTTTCAAATAATAAAAATTATTTGCGAGGCGACAAGTATCTATCACCCATCACACTTGATCCAATCTCCAAGGGACACCTAGATTCAGTCAACACTCATTAATTTCCCATACGTCGTCTTTTTCTTCAGAGCTTTAGGTAGTACTTCATGACGTGTCCAGAAATGCTCAGACCTTAGAATAAAGATTGTTTTTAATATTGAACACGTGTCATTGATTTGATAATTTAGAGTCGCTGGTGGGACAAGTCTTCTGTCTTATTGTGCTTTTTGGTAATCTCTGTCTCTCCGCCACGTGGTTTTTCAGCTTTCACAGTCTGTCTCTCTGCGTCTTCTCCGGTTCTTCCTTTTCTAATCTTATCCCAAAGCCCAAATAAAAAACTGTGGGTTTTCAATTTTCCTTTTTCATTTAAAAGTAGTTTTAAGCAGAGTATTATTTTTAATTTGATATTGGTTAATAGATTCCTTATATAAATTATAACAAAGCAGAACCAATTAGCTAACAACATTTAGGCTACCCCTCAAGATTAAATAAAGATTAATTGGCACATCTAGGACTAAAGGAATGTGTACACGTTGTTTTAGATTCTTTCTTCAGGGGACTTGGTCCAATATTTATTTTCTGGCTAACAGTTGGAAGGCTGGGATTGGTAGTTGAAGTCCATATTTATCTTATTGTGTAATAAGGAGGACTTATAGGAATTAATATTATGGGGAGAAGAAAAAATAAAAGTAGAATAATAAAGTGATGTGAATGTTTGATAGAGACTTGATATTTTATTTGTATTAGGCGAAGTTATGATTAGCGATGAGCATTTTTTTGCGTCTGGGTAAGTGTAGAGGAATGGACCAATGTTAAGTAATAAAGTGGCAAGTAAAGGGTACATCAAACTTATGTTAAAGATGCCACGTTAGCCATATCAGAATAGGAGGCGGCGAGATGGCTAGATTTTTTTCGGATTGTACACTTCAATTGTGTTTGTGTGTAGAAATTGAGTTGGATTAAATTGCAGTCACATTCATGGAATTTAGTGGATTTGAATTCAAGGTAACATCTCCTATCGTATAATTTTGTGGTGATCTTTATTCTTTAATTCTTGCTTTAAAATAGAAATAAATATCATTTAATGCTCTATTAATTATTAATCTCATATTTACTTCTTGCTAATTTTAATATGTTCGTGGGCCGGAGAATGTTCCTGTCAGTGTTCTGCACAAAGTTAGAGAACTACTAGGCCTGTTAGGTCTGACTAAGCCTGTATTTTCAGCTCATTTAATAGGCCGAGCCTAATAGGTGAAAATTCGAGCCTGGCCCAATTCCAAACCCTCTTCTCACTTCTCAGGTATTATCTCCTCTCTCTCTCTCTTTTGTAGTGCCAAAGATCATTCACTTGACCTCAAATTTAACAGGAAGAATTCCGGTAGTCCTTGGAGCTAAATTTTCAAAATAAATGAATAATTTAAATGGGCTTCTAAGTTATAATATGGGTCGAGCTTAAGAAATTCTTAAATTAAAGCTATAATTTACAGAACATTTATAACTGCAAGATTCCAGTTCAGTAAGTAATTTTTTATTAAATCCATCTCATTAATTACGATAGGACATTTTGAAAATTTTACTTGTGTGTACAGCTACTTTTACCACACTTAAATTGAAATAGAAGAGTATAATTTATTAACTTCAACTGGCGCTACCATTTTCATACCTGCATCGGTCAACTTCTCTCTAGTACCTAGAAGTGAGGTTCTGTTGGGTCAAATCACATTAAATTTTTGTCTATACGTTTTTATTATGTGTCCATAGTTGATGTATTTTGGCGTTGATACAAATACCTAATTGATTGTCATGTACAGTGATTCTTATATTTCCAATATTCCAACATCAATATTCTTGCTTTTGTGAGTGTGTTAAAGATGAGCGGTTGACGCACGAGGGTTGTGGGATGTGATGTTGAAGTTTTGAAGAAAATGTCACCAGGAAATGGTGAAGAAAATAGTAAGCTATGTGAATAGGTCTATACTGAAATGACACACCAAGAGTGCAGCCACTTAAAGGTATCCATGTCCGGCAAAAATGAAACCTTGAGACGCGCAAAAAAACTCTCACATGGAATGGAAAAATTAGGCTTCAGGAGCTATCTGGTAACACATTTTTACTTAAAAATGTAGGATGGCAGTAAAATCACCATAATAAAAATAATATACATTGAAAATTGTATTTATTTTATATTATTTGACAAAACTCACATGAATAATAGTATACAAAATAGATGATATCGTCAAGACAAATTTCAGAGTCCTTCAAATTCAATAGTATGTAACAATTTTTGACTTCTTGCTTCTCCTTTTCTCTTCTGGATTCGCTAATTTCTTATTGCCATTGTTTTTCTAATGTCGGCGAATCAAGTCTATATATGCAAACTGGTGATTGGATATATAATATGTTCACATGACAATCATATGGGCTTTAATGGTTCATAGACTGATATTTTAGTCAATCAAATATAATCATATACGATAACTTAATTGTAATCAAAGCACAGATCGTCTAAATATATTTGCCAATTATGGGAGTTGATGAAATTTAAATTTAAAAGCGTGCCCGCCTTGTTTGAATATATCCACAGAGAGTAGTTAATTAACAGCAACAGGATGACCTGGATTCACTTTGAACAAACAAACAAAGAGGACCTATTGTACTTACTCCCACTTTCACTAATTACAATGCTACAACCTATACACAACAACTCTACTTGCTAAGTTTTAAATACAATTTTAGTTTAATAATTTAATTAAGCTTATGAAATTATACTCCAACCCACGTAAGCTTTACTTTAAATTTGTACGAATTGTTTTGCTTTACAGAGTATTGAGTGATCTCTCTTTCTCGATGCAGACACAAAATTGACTTGAGTGGCAAAAAGCTAGCTCAAAAGTTTTCTAAACCTTTTCTTGCTTTTCAACCACTCCTCTTTCTCCATCTTTTCTTAAAGGAAGAGAAGAGATACCACGTGACCATGCATATGGAGTAGAGAACAGTATACACAAATGTATATGAATCAATCCAGGTGGTGTCGGAGGAAATTAAAATCAATCTGCTCAGGCAGGCCAGAGAGAAAATATTATGTAAAGAGGAAATTATTAATACACTGTACTGTATTTTTGAAATTATATATGTATTTATATTAAGAAGTGGACAACCTGGGTTGGAGATGCAGGATTTGACATTTACGTGTTGTATCTATCTATAGACACAAGTTTCAAAAACTTTTAAAGCGTTGAAATCTGTAGCCAGTATCGTCCTCTCCGTTTGTCACTCTGATGTACAGTGACGAGAAATGAAGAGAGAGAATGGTAGGTTAGGTTGTAACATTTTGCAGCACATCTTCCGGGTACCCCGTTAACTTTTATATATATATATATATAACAGTTTCATTACACCCTCAGAAAGTATCTATCGATCTCTTTACCCCAAAGAGTTTGAAAATAGTCACTTACATCCCCTACCATCTATTTTTGCCGTTAAAAGATGATGGAAAACCAACTTTGATGACTGCAATAACAATTTTACCTATGACTCATTATCATCTTTACCATTTTACCCCAATAAAATTGATGAAAATGTTATAGTTGAGATTCCAACCCCCTAACCTCAAAGGGAAAAATAATATAGTTAACCATTCTACTAAGTACATTTAATAATTAGTATTTGAGACAAAATATATATTATAAACTATTAGATTTAATTTGTGTTCAGTTATATTTAAAATTTATGTTGTAGTATATACTTAAAATTCTAAATATAATAAAAATATATTTGAAATTTCTTTTAAAAAATATATTACAATTTACCCTGTAAAAATTATGATGAGAAATTGTATTTTTTATAATATTATTTAATTTATGTGGAAAAATATTTAAAGCTTTTACTATTATTTTTAGTAAAATACTTTTATGGAATTTAAAATATTTTATATTTTTATAATTTTCAATATAATTAAATATTGAATCTAATATAACAAATATTGATTTAAATATAGTAAGTTTAGTACTTTCAGAT